ACTATCTTTAAACTTGAAAACTACAGTGGGTATGGCTTCATCATATACCCAATATTGCATGTCGTGCAACAAACCATCACATATGTTCTTAACAGTAGGAATCTTTCTCATTTGCTTCGTTGGAGGCCACATAATGTTTTTGAAAGACTTGCAAAGAAGTTTTTGAAATCAGTCGCATGAGGATCCTTTGAACGATTGGAGAAAGGAGCTACAGATAGTTCAGCAAGATCCACCTTGGTGAGTGAAGAAAAATCATTTTTATCCTTGTAGTATTCCATATTATTGCTTTTTCTTTTCACCGGCCATAAATTAAGTCTTTCATGAAATCCCCACATTTGAATCCCTCACCGGTCACCATATTTGTGCTCGAACCTTTTCTTGTCGTGCTCGGTCACCGTTAGTTGACGCTGGTCTCCACAAAGATTTTGATAAGAATTCTTCATAAGGAGCAACCTTCCCCTTTTCTGTGATGTGACATGCGTCCCACATATTTTAATTGTAATTCTAGGAGGGGCTTGCTTTGGTACTGTTTCAAAACGGTCAACGATCGTAGCGGTTCTGATTGGTGCGTTGTCATCAGGCTGATCAAAAGTTGATATATTGAATGGGCTGGTTCAGAAGTTTGTGCTGCACTTGGGCCATCAGCGGTGGTCTTAAATTTATCACCGAATTCAACAATAAGCTTATTCTTCAAATCAAAGTATCTAGCTGACAGTGCTCGAAGATTTACTTGCATTGTGGAGATCTGTTTTTCCTTTAAAACATTTTCCTCTTCCAGTTTAAAAACTCTAATATCGAGATTTGAGATTAGAACATCTTTTTCAATAAGTTTTTGATTTAGAAATCCAATCTCTGCTTCCAGGTCAGCAATCGATTGGCCCGCTCCCCGTATATTTCCTTCTCTTATAGATATTCCTTTTCCGCGAACTGATGAGTCTGAATCCTGTTGGGCCAGCAACCTAGCAAGCCTCTCAGAGGCAATGTCATGTGCAGGTCGTGGAGGAGTGGAACCCCCAGGAGCTGAAGAGTTCCCGACATCATGATAAGACCAAATAGAACTTGGGTTTTCATGGGCTGATTGAATGGTTGTAGCAGTTGCAGTGGGTGGTTGTATAGGTGGTGGTTGTTCCCTTATTAGCACTCCTCGCCTGGGATCAACTCTTCTTCTTTTCAAAGGAGGTTGGGAGGCTTGTGTCATTATCGGATCACCCTCAAACACCAATGACATTGGAATTTCAACATTAAGGGGAGGAATCCTTGAAGTCGAATCCACAAGATTTGATGTGTCGTCCATCTTAGTTGAAGTAGGAGGCATTTTCTCAAGAACATTTTCAACTCCCTCCATCTTTGTTGCAGATTGTTCAACTTCATTGACGTTGTCAAAGAAAGCGTCAAGGTCTTCTGTGTTCAACCTTATGTCATTATCGTGCTCAAACCTAAAAATCAAATCATCATTATCATAACCGGTTAAATCACCAACAAGACCCTCAAATTCATCATCATCTACTTTATTATTTTCACCATCATTACCCTCTTCAGTGGAAATAGGCAGATATTCTTCAGCAACTATCGCCATAGGAGGAACATGCCCCTCCTCATGCTCGGAAGCAGTGATCACATCATCTTCCGTTTCCATCGGATCTGATGAGCTTTCAGCTTTAGTTGAATCACTAACATCAACTAATTGGATGAACTTCACCAATGGATATTTTCCTTGGAACATAAAATTTCCTTTAATGTTCTGCTTCGTAAGTCCAAAGGTGCTGGAACCAATGGATTTTAGGTCAAGAGTCTCTCCCATTTTTTTATGTTCCGAGTATTTGTCATTGAAAATCATTTGAAGGATCCTCAGAAACATGAGAAATTTGTCTTTTCGTTTTCCCTCAACATTACCCACCGTCTTGTTCAGGATGAATCTAGAAAAATTGAAGTTAAGTCCTATAGCCAGAGCAATAGCTGACAAACACATGAACCAAGAATCTCCAGTAGGGTGGCAACAATTTCTTGATCATTGGAGGAAACACACAGTCATACTCCATACGTGTGATGATTTCTTTGGTCTGGTTTATCGGTATCTCAGTTAGAAATCCCGACTTGTCATTGATCCTCAGAATCTTATGGATGAGTCGTTCAGACACAACAATCTTCCTTCCGTTGATAGTAGCTTCCAAAGATACTTCGTCATTATTTTCTTTCCGCACCACAACATAATTCCAAAACTGCTTCACTAGGTGTTGAAAGATGATCGAATAGGAAGTGAGATCATAAGCCAAACATCATTTCTTCAGTCCATGAACCAAGCACTTGAAATTGTTGTGTGCGCAGGTGGGTCTAGCAGGAACATGACGAAATTTTGATTGTCTTTAAATTTTAGTTGTTTTTCAATCATGGATGCAACTACGTCAATTGACAGATCACACTTTCTAAAATAAAAATATGCATTTTTAAATTTATTTTTCAAAGAGTCAAGCTCGATAGTTAATTCGGAATGTTGTTCCTTAACATATTTATAATTCACACATTTATTGCTATATTCTTCTTGAAGTTTTCAGAAGTTCTTTGTTTTGGCATCTAATTTTTCTTTCATGGGTTTCTGACCTTTCCTAAGAGTATAGCCTTCATATTTAAGGTCCTCATTTTCTTTTTTTAGCAAATCGATTTGTTCACGAAGAAATTTAATTGTAGCTTCATGAGATTTAGTACATGAAACTTCATTGATCGGGATGATTGAAGAACTCATTGTTTACCAAAAATGCCCTTTGACTAAAAACTCCAAAGTCAACCTTAAAAGTCAAATTTAAAAAGTCAAACTTGAAAAGTCAAACTAAAAAATCAAACCAAAAAGCTAAATTTGAAAATTTGAAAGTTAAGCGATAAAGTAAAAGTTTAAAGTCAATGGTTAAATCTGAAAGTCAAAGTCAATTTTAAGGTCAAAAGTCAAAAATTGAAAACTAAAATTTTTGGTTGAAAATGATATTTGAAATTTTGAAAAATTCATTTTTGGGCAAAACATGTTAAAATTTCAAAAATTGGATCGAAATAACGAAGCCTTTTGAGTTAAATCTGGAATGAGTGTATTATCTAGCAAGCTAGATGAGTTGAAAGGGGTGCTCGTTGATTATACAAGGGATCCAAGTTCGATCCTTGCAACCCCCAAAATCCTTTTGATTATTTGCTGCTGTTGCGAAAACTATACGCGAGAGGACCGCACACACTGTTGGGTTGAGTACTCCTATTGACCGCAAACATGATGAGCCATAAACGTCCAAGCTGGAAACATTTTTGGGTTGTAAACGCTTCTTCATTTCGGTCGAGAATCCTTCTTTTGTCCAACCAAGAACCCTTCTTCGGTTGGCCATGAACGCCTCTTCGGAGTTCGTGAACACTGCTTCAGATCACGAAAAAATAGCGTTTTTTCACCCCTTTATGCTCCAAAAATCGATCAAAAACTCGTGTTAATGAAAAACTCAAAGAACAAACCCCCAATATTTTTCCAAGAAATATCCAAAAACAAAAAAAAAATCCTTCAAGAAAAAGATCAAAAATTGTCATGATTTGGCAAAATTGATTGATACAATCAAACCTCTGATACAAACTGCAAGTCCTAAATTTTCTTGACGTATCAATTAGATCCAATTGATGGTGCAGAATCCCAATCAATTAGATAATGCAATATCAAAATAAGAAGAAGGAGAAGAAGAATACGATGAATATTCAATGTTTTCTGTAGATTAGAAAGATACTCCCTCACACAAGATTCACACACACTTAGCCCTTTTTTACCGGTGACTCCCTCTACCATCTAACATCTATTTATATAAAACATGGGCCGTGAACAAGTTCATGACCATAAACTAGTTCACAGCCGTAAACACCCACCTGGGTTGTGAACCCTCCTAACCACACACACCACATGGCCCGAAAATTATTAAAGCCTAGAAAAGTAAAGTATAAACCATATTTTTGACCCAATAGTATACAAGACATGAATCTACTTTTCCATATCAGCCCTTAACTCTTCAATTTTTCGATTAACATCTTCTCTAACTATCTTCACATCTTGAATGAAAATAACATGACGTTGCTTCACGAAAACTTTCAATTCTTTCAAGTCTCCATTAAATGTCTTAGACTGAGCCTTAATCTGAAACTCATTATTCTTATCCACCTGATCAAGCGTATGTTGAAGATGAAGCTATTGAGCTTTCAACATGACATCAACTTCTATACCGAACACTGAATGCCTACCCCTGCATCATCTTGAAGTTGAAGTAGATAATTAAGATTTTGATTCAAAATCTTGAACTGCTTCCCAGACATCAACATATGATCATGGATATTCTCTTCCTCAGGATCAAATTCTATGTCAACAAAAGAACCTACAAACCTACCATCATCAGTTCCTTCATCGTTAACTGTTTTGGGTGCTTCGGTGGATTGAGACGAAAATAGAGTAGTAATGGGTTGTTGCATGATAGTATCAAAAGTAGGAGAATGAGTAGAAGTTGAGATGGTTGTATGAAATGGTGATGGAGAAGAAGTAGTATGAATGGTAGAAAATTATTACTTTTCCCATCATACTCATCTAAAATGGTAGAAGTTCCGAATGTTGATACAGAAGTCGTAGTTTGAATGGTGATAGAGAAGTTGTAGTATGAATAGTAGAAGTTTCGAAAGCTGATGAAAGAATAATATTCGAGGTACCTTAAATTGAAATGGGTTGGGCCTCATTATTAGACACCCCATCACCCTAGTTGACATTTACATACGTATCAGATACGTTTACATTGATGACTGAAGTTCGAACCTCCTCATTAAATGACTTGGTTTTCGAAACTTCGGGTTCTATGACTATTGCCTTCTTAGGAGTCGATATCTTTGTATGTTCACCAAGTATAGTAGTTTTTTCCACTTTAGAAGTTTTCGCAGAGCTACCAGGATTTCGAATATCTTTGAAATTTGACTCGAATGGAACCCCTCGTTGGTTTTTATTTGCCTATTCAATTATCTTCAAGTTGAGTCTCAGGAACAATATCTTCATCCATTGAATCATCTTGAATAAGTAAGTTTCGTTGTTTCTTTTGTTTCTTGGATATTCGCTTCGCCATATCCTCAGCGCGTCTTTTCTTTGAAGCTAGGGATGCTTGGGTAGGAATCTCACGAATGAGAACCCCCTTGCGACTGATCTGGAGTTTGCGAGTTACCCCCTTTGGTGAAAAACTTGGAGATCTTTTAGGAGAATGGCTATGTTTTTAGCCATTTTCTCGAGTCTTTTCAATACTCCTGATTTCAAAGTTACCACTTCCTTCGAAGGAACAGCAACTTTCTTTGCAACTGGATTAGCTTTCGAAGGACTAGGCTGTACATCCTTCTTTGATCTTCTTTGCTTCTTTGAAGAACCTTTTGTTGAATTTGGTAGTAATACTCCAGTTATGATTGAAAGATTGATCTGCTTCAGGTAATCTACCAACGTCGAATTCTAAGGATCAACCTTTTTCAACATTGAATGAGGAATTCGAGCAATCGTGGGAAATATAGCAACATCATCTTCAATTGTCTTTGGAAAATGATAAATTGCAAACTCATATTTTTCTTCATCAATAGGAACTTGAATGCTTTCCTTGTCATAAACATCTTGAAGTATTAAACTCCATTAATGAGCACACGATACCCCATCGATAGCATTAGTATTTGTGATACTTTTCAGAAACTCCTCCCACATCTGTGTAGCATAATCCACTTGCAGATCATAATAAATTCTAGCAACCATAGCATACACATCCAATCTTGCTTTGTCTAAGCCTACACTTCGACCTGTTAAGCTTCAAAGATAGATTCCAAACAAGAAATTCCAAATACATGGTGACCTTGACTTCTTGAATTCGCTTATCTTTATGAGAGTAGCTTGATAACCCATCTCATTAATGATGTAAATCACCTGCTCATTGGTAACTTTATAAAACGGTTCAGAAATGGGTATGTTGAGAATTTGAACAAAGAGTTTCTTTGACAATCAAAACTTCTTGTCATTCACCAGATTGAAAGTAACAATCATCATAGTTTTGTTGTATGTACCAGTAGCCATAAAGTATGCCATGTCAGGCAAAGTGATGAACATCATTTGCTAGAAAATTCCAAAGCAACCAAAATGTCACATCAAACGTCTTTTCGAAATTACCAAGTGGATAAGGACAAAAACCTTCGACATGGAGGTAAGCCTCTATCACTTTTGGGATTGAAACCGAAGTCATGTGCCATACTTGTGAAATCTTCAGTTTGAGTTGGGATTACTCAGAACCTCAAGGATTTCGTGAGTGAAATGTGTGCTAAATACTAAGATAAGAAGAAAAATTAAAAAAAATTGTTCTATGATGTCGAAAAATAAAATTTCGACATAAATGCAGTTAGATCCCACTCAAAGATCACTTCACTAATCATCAAGAGAGATGATCAATAGATTGTGCGGTTTCCCGTGAAGTATAATCGAAGGGCATATTTTAATTAGCTTCATGGGTGGTTAAAAATTATGTTACATATCACAACTCAACATAAGTATGAGAAATTGTAACCGAAATTATCTTTTTGACCGGTGTAGTCAGTGACAAGTATGCTTTGGAAAATATATTAAGTAACAAAGATTTAGAATGATACTCACACTGAAATCATATTCCATAAAAACAAATTATAACTGGATCTTGTTGGGTAACAAAAGTCGTGTGTTTCGATCATTTGATCAAGATCACTCAAAAATGAAAGAATATGATTTGGAGTATCGACAGGAGGTACTGAAACAAATATTTCGTTAGAATCTAGAACTAAGTTCCCCGTCAATTCCTAGAATGGTTCGATATTTTAGGTTTCACTTTCATCACGAGTTCATGAATCCAGATCATAAACACAGATGTTTGATATGTCTAAATTGATTGGTTTATATCAGAGATCTCTTGGAGATATGTCACGGTGTGTGAATTTGAATGAACTTTGGGATGAAAAAGAGTGCTTTAAGTGAATGTACCTCTGGTTTTTTTGGACCAAGCAGTAAACTTTTGACTCATTCAAGAAGAGTAAGGTAGCTCAGAGACTAATGTGAATACAACCTAATTAAGAAGGAATTTTCGTGATGAAAAATCCATTAAGGCTTTCAAAAACACATAGTGTCATGGAGGCTTGGGTCGACATGCTGCAACATGGTTCTATGGATAGCCTAACTAGTATAAGGCTTCAAAAATATACCTGACCCTAAAGCTGCAAGCATGAACCATCGAAAAACTTTGCTACAAGCTACACAAATATAGTAAAACATAAACGACAAAAACAAAACAAGAAAATATTTTTGGATTTTTTTTATATAATGAAAATGACAAAAATAAGAAAATCTTTATGATATATTTGAATTTTCAAAATAAAAGAACAAATATAAGAAAATATTTTTGGTGTTTTTGAATTTTTGAAATGAAAGTAACAAAAGTTTACCAAACTAGCGAAGATATTTATCCAGCCAAATTACATGAGGTCCAAAGTGAAGCATGTCAAATCGTTGACTATGAACAGTAACCGATGAATAATGAACAGTAACCGTTGAATCGACATGTTTCCATCGCACTCACTTGTCATTCTTACGAAATCAATCCTGGAACATAATTCACATCAATCATTCCCAACCCATTCAAGATTCATACAAACGATTTTTCATCTAAAGGTTTTGTAAAGATATCAGCAAGCTGATTAGTTGTCTTTACAAAATGTACTACAATGTTTCAATCCTCATCGTGATGTTTGATAAAATCATAATGAAGAGCAATATGCTTTGTTTTCGAATGTTGCACTAGATTGTGAAAAATGTGTATGACACAGTGTGAGTCACAATACAACCGAATTTTCTTCATGTTGATTGCATAATCATGCAATTTGTCACACCCCAAAACCAGGAACGGCGGAAACGTTCTGGGGCGGAGGACGTCATGTATAATATCAACAACAATGTAAAGTAGTAAACAAGCAACAACATCATCCATTGCATTAATAATATAATTATTATACAAATGTGTTCTGTCAAATTTTGATAAACACTAAAGCATAAATCAAAATGAAAGATAAGTCTTGAACAAGCTCCATCTTCCTTTCTCCTTGCATCGGTACCTGTCTATGATGACCTGAGGATACAAGTAATTTTGAAAGCGAGTATCAGCTTTAAAGCTGGTGAGATCATAAGTATTTAGTGTCTTAATTTGTATGTGAGAAAATGTAAGTATATGTACTTAAATTATTGAAAGTGTATATGAACTGTAAGTGTTTGAAAAACCCTAGAATCCCTATGATTCCTATTAATAATAGACTAAAAGGAGTCTTCTACCAAGACCTAACCATGTAGTCTTCTGACCTAACTGTTCTGAATGTAGTCTTCTACCAAGACCTAACTGTTCTGAATGTAGTCTTCTACCAAGACCTAACTGTTCTGAATGTGTGTGTCTCTTGTAAGAGGATGTATTTTCCAAAGTATAACTATCATTATTCAAAAATATAGTTTGTACAATAATGTTTAAGTGAGGTTATCACTAAAAATATGTAATGGAAAATCAATGTAGTACTATGGTGTAGTGTCCAACTACAACCGTACTTATTACCTTAAATCTAGGGTAATACTTCCAAGTACTGTAGTATTTAATAAAAATAACTACATCGGTACTCAACTGCCTTATTTGAGGGATAAGGTATAATGTGATGTCTAGATCCCAGACTATACGCTCCCCTATCAAAGGGATTTTGGGACCTACCCACGACCCCTGCATGAACGCAAGCCGTGAGCATCCACATTACCGAATGATCATGTATACTCGATATAACTATCACAATTGTGGTGTGATTCATCAGTATAGTTAGATCCTGAACTGGTTCCGTGCTATAGCACCTAATGACGTCTGTTCTATGTATATGTAAGTGTGATCATGTAATTGTACTCAAGTAAGAGCGATCATGTAATAGTACAGTAGTGTACTGTAATGTTCTACGTGTGCTAGCTGTAATGTGTGTTCTCTCTATCTAGCAAGTATAGTAATGTAATCATTCTAGTATAGTTGTATATGTTCTCGTCCTAGTATAGTGTATATGTAATGTACTGAAAAGTTCTAGAAAGTATTGACTCATGAATGAACTGACTCATTGAATGATATCGCGTTCTAGCAATGGTTCTAGTATCTTCCTGAACTACCCATATGGTAGCTTTCTAGTAATCTAAGTGTACGTATGGACATGGATGTATACCCTTGCTACCCAAGGGCATAGGATGAACTGGAAGGACCTTTTATGACTATATATGTGTACATGATATATAACTAATATTTAAACGACCTTCGGACGAATACCCAAAATCCCACCAGACCACATCTCAAGGCGCGAAAAGGAAATAGGGTGGATAGCCTTCCTAAGTCTTTTAAACATTTCTTATATAAGTATACATATAGAGGCATGCAATTTATAATATAAAAGCATAAATATTTGTAAGACATTTGAAATATAAGTATTATTTTAAGAAAAGATCGACTTGGTGTCAATCTATAAAACAATTTGAAGGCATAAGTTTAATAAAACAGTTTAAGTATAAGGAAACATTTGTTTGAAACACAGTTGTAAATAAGTTTGAAAGGAAATGTACGGAGTAAGCTGTACAGTGTAAAAAGGAGTTTAAAACATATAAAATGTTATAAAAAGTCATTTGAAGGAAACTGTTTGGTAAAACGGCTAATGAGTAGCCAAATCATTTGATTGCTGTATATTAATCACATGTGATTGATGTAATAAGTAATATAATCCTACTTGCTAATCACATGTGATTGACATAATAAGTAGCATGATTCTACTTGTATCCCCCCCATAAAACATTTAAAAAGAGTTTAAAACATTAGTTAAGGGGTATGAACTCACCTGCGGTAAGTGACTGGAATTGAACGGACTGTTATCGTACGGAAGGATCGGACAAGTGCTTGGTGTCAAGTGGAGACTTAGACACACACAATGATCCTAATTACATATGAAAACATATGTATATAAATAATTAGTGATTATAACACTAATTATACAAGTAATAACATTTAAGCGCGAGGATAACACTTTTGGTCAAGTGCTAGGAGGCTAAAGGGTTGCAACAAAGGAGTGCAATGCCCCTAATGTGAGTTTAAGGTCAAAAGACCATATTCATTAGAGTTTACGGCCCAAGGAAGTAAGTTCCTGGCCGTAAACTCCCAACCAAGGCTTGGGATGGTACTTTCAATTACTACAACCTTAGTGGGAATTGTTTCAAGGCATATACAAGTGTTTGGGCACCATATTGACTCCTTTGGGGAGTTTACGGCCCAAAGACCCTTTTCCCTTGGAGTTTACGGCCGTAAACTCCCTTGGGAGGGTTTATTGCCTTTCAAGTCTCCAAATTTCTAGGAACAATCTAGGCTTCAACTTGGCTTAAGAGGTTTATGGCACATGGTACCATTCTTGGAGTTTACGGCCATAGAACTCTTGGGCCGTAAACTCCCTCAACATGGGTTCTAAATTTTAGCTAGTCCAAACTCATCTAGGTACTTGCAAAAGTCCTTGGCCTTAGGAAGTGTTTAGGGTGTCCTTTGACCCCTTTAAAGGAGTTTACGGCCCAAGAATTACTCTTGGCCGTAAACTCTTCAACATATGTGCTTTCTTATGTTTTCTAGGTCCTAGATACTTTAGGGTATTTGTCTAACATGAAGTCCAAGCCTTTGGGGGTGATTAGGGCACTTTTAGCCCTTGGAAAAGGGGTTTACGGCCCAAGAAATGTTCTTGGCCGTAAACTCCTATAAACTTATGATTTTGAAGTGTTTTGATGTCTAAAATAGTCACAAGCATATGAGGGTTAAAGTCCTTAGGCTTAAGGGGTGAGTTAGGGCACATTTGTCCCTTGGAAATGGGGTTTACGGCCCAAGAAACCCTTGGCCGTAAACTCCAAAAGTCTTGTGATCTTGGATGATTTTGGACATGTAACAATGTTATAAAGCATATAACAAGTATTAAAACACATCTAGGGAAGTAGACTCACAATCTGGGATGAAAACCCGAAGATCCGTGAGAGAGAAATGGGCTTTTCTCTAAATGGAATTC